TGAGTCAACCTTGAGCCGGTGAGATTAGAACCGCTGAACTGCAGATAACAGTCAGCTGAAGTGGCCTGCAGTACTGCACTCTAACCACTGCGCCATCTTGGCTCCTAATACAAGATGTCACATGGCTGTGTCGCTTAGCAATGACAGTCCCAATTAACATCGTAACGTGAAGAATTTACATTACAATGCTTGTTTTCCCTATTGACTTTGGCTGTAGAAAGACATATAAAATCACAATTACGTGACTGCATCTTGCTTCAATGTGCAGAACTTAAGAGGACCAGTTGTAAGTGCCCCGCATTCAGCACCGTCATACATTTGAACAGTCTGAACGAATGGATGGATGCAATCTAATGACTACCTGTAATGTTTATGACTGCAAGAGCCGTGGTGGCACAGTGGTTAGAATGCAGTATTGCAGGATAATTCTGCTAACTGCCAACGGTTTGATTCTCACCGACACAGGGTTGACTCGGCCTTCCATCCTTCTGAGGTCAGTAAAATGAGGACCCAGATTGTTGGGGTGCAATATGCCGATTCTGTAAACCGCTTAGAGAGGGCTGTAAAGCACTGTGAAGCAGTATATAAGTTAAGTGCTATTGCTATGCTCAAATGGAACTTTGCTCTAGTCAAAAGGTATTTTTTAGACAAAGATTAAAATACATTTGAATAACCTTTGATTATCCTAGACAGACACGTCAAAGTATTATTATTAAACAACAAGCTGGCTTTGTTTTCAGCAAAGAGAGGGTACAGTCAAACAAATGAAAATGGGGGCATTATTTTTTCAAATTCCTAATTCACGATGAACAGAACCTTCGCATTCCTTAATAGCAACCTTGCTGACATTATCTGAAAAGATCTAATGAGGTCATACTGCTGAACGCTGGCTTTTTTATAACAGGCAGAAAAGTTGATGAAGCAAATAGGTGTGAAAAATGTGAAGCTTTCTGAATATGAGATGAGCATTGCTGCACATCTGGTGGATCCTCTTAGTATGCACGTAAGTGTTCTTCGTCTTTTTCCTATGTAAAAATGTTACGTCTTGGGGCAAAATGTTCACATGGATGCACATGTGCTCATAGTGGAACTGTATTTTAATTGAATTTTCTTAATTTTGGGAGTAAATGGACATTGTGGGACAGACACGCGTGTCAACTTTTATTACAAGTAATATACTTATCATATAGGTGCAAAATCCTAGGACCCATTTCTTTTTTCTCATTCTCCCAATATAGACTGTTTTAATAAGTTAGTAATAAGGTTCCACCACAAATGCGCGTACGACAAAAGCGCGTGTGACTAAACCGCGGTGACAAAACCGCGCCGTCAAAACCGCGGAGACGAATGAGCGCTGAAGCGCGCCGACAACAAATAACCTAACCCTAAACCTAACCCTAAACCTTACCTTAACTTAAATCGTGCTTCTGTCGGCACGCTGTTGTCGGCGCGCTGTTGTCGGCGCGCTGTTGTCGGCGCGCTTTTGACATCGCGCTTTTGACAT